GGGCATCATGGGTCTTTAGATCTGGTAGTGGCCAGTCTTTGCCTCAACTCACCACAAAAGGAAAACAAAAGGTCCACTATCTGGACAGGTTATTTAACAGTACTTACTATGTAGCCAATCTGAAATCCAGAATAGACCTGAGCTTGATTTTATCAATGATGAAACAGGAATAAAAACAATAGGTAACATTTATTGAGCGTATATTATGTGCCAGGAGTTCCTCCAAGTCTTCAATGTGTGTATCACAAGGAAACTGACGGTCATCTCAGAACTGATGTTACCTCACCTCTGCTCAAAGCTTCAGTGCTACCTGTGAATGCCTACTGAAGAAACTTGATCTTTGCAACCTTTTGATGAACTACCTAATTTTGTTTGAGGCCCTTAATCCAACTTGGTTGTCAAAGTTTTTACAAGGACTTTCAAAGAACAGTATTGCATTTACTCAATATTTCCTAGTTGAAACAGACAGTACTGTCCTATTCCAACTAATGATAAAATGCAGGGGCTTTTCCTCTGCTTATACATTAATACTAACAAACATTCACCTAAGTACATACTACGTATCAGACATTTTTCTGGGTACTTTTCACAGTATTAACTCACTAATCCTCACAGAAATCCTTGGGTAGCTCCTATTATTATCTCCATTTTATCCGTAAGAACTTCGTAATTCATCCAAGTTCACATTAAACTGTAGTTAAAGCAGAATTTCCAAGGATTATTTTGACTTTTAGTGTTATATGCAATCACAAATCTCTATGGCTACAATTTTTAATAAAATGTCTTCAGTTTTTGCTGTTCGTGACTTTGCTTCCTTACTCAGCTTTAAGATTAGAGGGTTGGTCTTTAACATTATTTTTCTATTATCAACATCAGAAAGGGATAAACCCTCCATTTTCCTCTTCTCTGAATGCCTGGTCAATTCCGGAAAGTCATTTCTAGAAGTAACATCTTGCAAATTAAAGAAAGCAGTTACATTTACTTATGGATACATTATACCGGATACTACATCAATGGTACGGTTATCTGAAGTGAAATTTGGAGGCTCCTTTATGGTAGAAAGATTATGTTCAGAGTTGTCATGGAGCAAAAGGCAAGGTTTGCTAAGTACTTGGCTTTGACATATTTTTAAAGCTTCATATAAGAACTGATTACTATGCATATAAATGCATTGTATGGGTTCATTCTGAGTCTCAATATTGACAAAGGACATAACTGCCAGTGCCTCAGATCCTTGTCTCAAAGAAGAATTCAACACAAATGAGTCACTCCAACTCACCAGAAGACTGCCAGAGCAGGTAGGTGACCTTCAAGGATGGCACCATACCAAAAATCCCAGAGTGCTCAGTGCAGGGCTTTTCAAACTGCAAGTTGCAAGCTAGATTGTAAAATCAATTTAGTAGGTCACAATCTGCATTTAGAAAATTAAAACTCAGCACTGCAGAAAATACTGTGTATCACCATGAGTAAGAATATTTTATGATGTTACTTATGTATGTGTTTACTAGGTCATGATATTGTAAAATATATTTCTAGTTATGCATCTTGGACCAAATGTTGGAAAGCTGATGACCTAATGAATACTATGTGTGCAATTTTGTATACTAAGCACTATATTTAATAAACAGGCAGCTAGGTCATGCATAGCCAGGAAGTTGAGCCAGTTGTAATAATTGGCTCAGAGATCATAAAAGGAAATTTAAATATCATCCAGTTCAATAAATCACCCAACTTACCGAGACTTTTCATAAGATTCCTGTAATAAAAGTGTCTAACTTCTGGAGAAAGCCTGTTTGCTTCTCTACAAGTCACCTCTGCCTTTTGGGAAGTTCTTCATTATGCCAAATTGAAACGAACAATAGGAGACCAGAGAACATGGCGGACAGACAACAGCAACTACCAGAGGCTCTCTGAAAGGTTCGGCTCAGAGGCCAGAAATAATGCGGACTAGGGAGACACGAATCAGTAGAGATATGCTCTGCTGACTCAGGAACGAACTGGGCTGAGAGAATCCAACTTGGAATACAGTCCTGGCGCTAAAATAGGAACAGAAAAATCTCGGTGTGGAGGCTCGACTCCGCGCCATCGGAAACCGGTTTGGATTTCCCGCCGTGCGGCGGCCGGCTATCTCCACAGCGGCTCAGCAAGGAGAGACGCGCCGAGCTCTGGGAGCGCCGAGCTCTGGGAACGGGAGAACGGAGTCGAAAAAAAAAAGGACGGACAGAGGTGTACACGAAAACTGACTGGTGGCGAGGTGAGTGAGAATCTGACCCCCCACCACAGTTTGACTCTAGCGGAGATCTCTCTGGGCGCCATTCCCCTCTCGGACGGGATTGGAGAAAAGTGCCTGGCCTGAGTGACGCTGCTGGCGGACTCTCTAGGCTAGACTAGCCTAACCCAGATCCCAGAGCCGGACGATGGCCCGGAGGAGCGACTGACTTCCGCGTAGGCTGCCTCCTCCGACTCCCTGGTGCGCAGCGGTGGGCGGGAACAACTAGCCAGCGCAATTTGATCAGGCTGTGGCTGACAGGCAGGGAAGCCGGGCCTCCTTTGTAAGATTGCATTTTATAAGGAACAAAAAATATGGGGAAGGGAAGCAACAAAAAAAGCTCCTCGGCCCCCAATCCTGAGAAACAGGCAATAATGGACGCCGCACCAGTATACATTAAGCACCATATTGAGAGCCTCATAGACCAATTCAGGAATGAAGTTATCAATGATCTGAAGCTAGAAGTATGCAGAATAGTTAGAGAAATGCTAAACACCACCCAGGAAAAAACAGATGGTGGAATGGAAGAACAGAAAAAGAGGGGAGAATTGCTTGTTGGAGAAAACAGAGAAAGCATTGAGTATGTGAAGCAGGTTCAAAGGGACTATCAAGAAATTAATAAGTCTATACAAGACTGGCATAACAGCTTGAAAGAAACTAAGGACAGACTATCTGAACTGGAGGGCAGACTTGAAATATGGGAGAATGAAATGAAAAACTTCTTAAAAATAACAAAGAAACAAACAGCAATAATACAAAGACAAGAAGATGATAAGAGGAGCCACCACTTAAGGATTAAGAACATAGAAGAAGAAGTAGGGACACAAACAAATGAATTACAAAAGCTACTCACAGAAATAATCCAGGAGAATTTTCCTAATTTAGCAAAAGGTAAAGATACTCAGCTGTATGAGGCATACAGGACCCCAGCTACCTACAACCCTAACAGAGAAACACCCAGGCATATAATAATAAAAATCCCAGAAATTCAATACAAGAACAGAATATTAAAAGCTGTAAGAGACAAGAAACAGATCACTTACAAAGGAACACCCATCAGAATTACAGCAGATTTCTCTTCACAAACCATCAAATCACGAAGAGCATGGGGGGAAATAATTCAAGCTTTGAAAGATAATAATCTCCAGCCAAGATTGAGATATCCTGCACAACTGTCCCTGGAAATTGATGGAAAAACGAGGTGCTTCCAGGATAAAGAGGAACTGGGGGAATTTGCAACCACCAATTCAACTCTACAGAAAGTATTGCAGGATATTCTAAAAAAAGAAAAATACAAAGAACCCAGAAATAGTGGCAGGGAGGCCACAACGAATGGAGCAGAGAACAAAATGAAGAAGACAAACTGACAGCTACTGACAGAAAAAGAGCTCAACAGAAATGAGACAGAGAAGATTGGATGATAGGAACAGCTATTTTTGAGAAAATGACATCTTAATAGGTAATGCTGATTCAGTACCATCTTGTTTTGAAGTCTCATCTAGCTTTTGTTCTTCTGTCTCCAATGGTCTAACCAGGTTGTATCTTATTGGATTTTGTTATGTACGTTAGTATAAGCAAAAACCTTTTAAAGACAAGGAGATTATACAGAGACCATTGTTCATTTTCTGTTAGTCAATTCCAAATACTCTATAATGCTGTCATTCTCTTAAATGGTTTTACATTGTTTTGATATACTTAATGCTACAGTATATGAAGTTGTACTCAAGGACTTCAGGGAGGGAGTCAATATGGTAACTATTTTTAAGTCGGAAATATCTGGTGGTGAAACACTATTCTGCTTAAAAGGTTATGTTTTGATCTGCCCTGTTTCGCTGTTATGCCCTCTTTTTCTTTTTCTCAATCTCCACTCCATTATATACTTTTTTATTGTTATCCATTTAATTAAAGGGAAAAATATAGCAGGATATAATATAGTAACCCACTTTGACTTTCTATTTTCTCGATTTGAAGCCCTGTATTACTCTCACCATCTTGTTTTTGACTGAGGTTCCTCTATTCTGTTTTGCTGAATAGTATCAGGTTCGAAAGTTTAGGCATCAGCTGAGAAGATAATGAGATTCATTATAACGCCCATTCTCGTTGACTTCTATCTACTTTTGAAGACCTACAATACCTCCAATGTTTTGGTTTTGTCGGTTTTATCCTTTACGGTTTTGTTCAATAGTATTACAACTAACGATATAGGCAATTCTATTAGAAATAGCGGGAGGCATTAGGGTAACCATTGTTGATCACCTTGTATTATGTTTTTATATTATCTATTATATCCACCCTTTTGACTTGACCGATTCTGTTCTGTCATGTCACATTTGGTTTTACTCTCTTCCAAAAAAGCAATAAGAACAGTGGGAGCAATGAAACCCAAAATGTGTAATAGTCACTGTACAAAAGAGAGGAAAAGAAAATGCTCTAAACTATATAACTGCATGTATATTTAAATGTATAAGACAGAAAATGATATCACAGAGTTCTAATGGATCATTGAACAGAACTGTTTGCAGTATCATTGCTGGAATGTCCACTCTACAAACTTTAATTCTGTGACTTGAACAATTATTTCTAAGATGGCAATATGTAATCTATTAACTAGTGATTTCCTACTGCGCATTTTTTTTCTTCTGTAAATCTGTATAACTTGTACCCTTCACTGTTTTTTTTTCTTTTCTTTTCTCCTTAAATAAAAATTAAAAAAAAAAAAAAAAAAAAAAAGAAACGAACAATAAGGCTGCTGCTTTCATATGCTTGCTCTTCAAAGTGTGTGTCAATTTAATTCTATTTACTTTCTTTGAATAAACACAGATTTATTATAGAAAGTCCTATAAAGTATGAATGAGAAAATAAAAATCACCCCTAATCTAACAACCCATAGCTACTGGCCATATCTCCTTAACCTGCTTTCTCTTTACTATGTCATGAATGTTTTCCTCTAAGAGAATATTCTACAACATAGTTATAATGACTACCCAGCACTCTAGCACAAGGCTGTACCTTAACTTATTTTTAAAAATCCATTAGTTGACTAGGTTATTTTGAGATTTTTATATAAAAATTTGATATGTATATCCTTGCACATAATGATTTCCTCATGATAATTCCTGGTTTTAAACTATTAGATTAAAAATACACAGTTTTTAGTCTTTGACATATACTGGAAAACTGTTCAAAAGGTCTGCTAATTTACTTTCCATGGATGACACAGAAAACTCACTAACATAGACATTAACTTGTTCTCCACTTTGACAACTTGATTTTCAAAAAAGTCTACTCCATTTTAACATAGCAAGGTTAAATTCTAGGTACCAGACTTCTCTCAGAAGCTGAAGACAGTATTTTTGATATTGTAGCTTTAAAATCCACAATGCTTTTTCCCTCTAAAAATCATTTTGTTGAGAAACATATCAAGAGAAAAGGATAGGAACTTTGCTTGTCAATGTAAATGAGCATTTTAAAATATTTATCTTCTACCCTGCAGATTAGAGATTTCCCTTACATCAATCAATAACATCAGTAAAATCTTCTCACTAGAAGCAAGTTAACAATCTTTTACATTTTTTCCTTGGACCACAAACAAAATGTTGTCCAGCTGCACTGAATTTAGCAACAAGCTATATTATCAAAGACACAAGCAAAAAAACTATTAGCCTTAGGATTTCCAGAGAAAAAGGGGAGGGAGATTTGAGTTTCCACTGAGTCAGATGAAAAATGTGTTTAGTGCTTCCCAAATACTATTAAAAACCTCAGTCTGAAAGCCTCAAAAACCACATGCCAAAGAGCACAAGTTTCTAAAGTTCATCTGAATGAGACACTGGCAGCTGTATTCCACTCTCCACAATACCCAAACTAGCCACACCCAATCTAGGATCCTCCTTCCTGCAGCCACTGCCTTCAGAACCCTATAGATGACTGCCATAGCGTGCCAGCCTTCATATGGCCTCCAGCTGCCCTCCTTAATCTTCTTCCGTTACTGCACCTCCAGAAAGATGCCATTAAGGTACAAATTTAATCGGGTTATTCAGGGATTCCATGTTATTACAAGAACAAGTTTCCAACCTCCTCAGCATGGCACAAAAGGTCCTTTGGATCTACAGAGCATGGCACAAAAGGCCCTCCTGGTATTTAGATGCTCAGAACATGATAGCTACTTGTAACTCTGTGTTTACTTAGGCACATGCTGCTCCTTCTAAGAAAACGTTCCCTTCCCCATCAGTCTGCCAATTCTACAACCTTAAGATGACTCAGCTGAACAAAGATGACCTTCTGCTGAATGTGTTCACTGAGATAAGGCTGAATTCAGCTTCCTTCCTTGTTCCCCTTAAAAGTTTGGAAAAGTGAGTTTTATTGTCCATGGAATGCCAAATATTTGCTTACTATGCTGTGGGATCTCCAGTTGCCTTAATTACATGGCAGTAAAATGAACTTCTTTTTTTGCCTTGAAGGGTTCTGATCATTTCACTGTATCTAATAACTTTATAGAATGGCACATAGGAAATACTCAGTAAATGCTTACTGGATTAGTGACCTAATAAACATGATTATGGTATGCATTTTAAAATCATCCTCTAATTTTTATTTTTGACAAAACAGATCAGAAGACAATTACCAACATACATAGTTAAAAGAAATTCTTATTTTATAAGAAGATTTATATGTCCTAGATATTGTTAAATATCAATTTTCTCTACAGAAATTGAAATGTTTGATATTCATAGTTTTTCATAGATATACATCCTTTACATAAGACAACATGCACCCCTACAGTCATCCCGTTATGTTACATTTTTAAAATACAGTACGCCAAATACAGCTTAGCGTGTTGCCTGTATACACAGAAAATGCTCAGTAGACAAAGCTTCTGAAGAGCTGAATCCTGGATTGTTTTGTTCACAATTATTTTCTTCTCTGGAATGTAGTATCCATTCACAGGAGCAGATCCAATGGACTATATATAGCGGTAACCTTGTCCTGGCCACAGTAGACTGGTTTACAAATGAAGGCCTGATCCAAGCAAGGCTAGTCAGTTTTTCCTTTGTTTGTTTGTAAATCTTAGGACCAAGGAACATTCCAAGTAGATGGTTATACTAGTGAGAATTTGCAGGAGTAAATCCAGAGGTAAACATGCGACCTGTTGGTGGCCATATTCTCTACCATATATAGAAACACACACGATCATTTGTAGTCCAAAGAATGAAGCCAACATAGGGGGAAAAATCACAGATGAGAAATGATGCAAACCCTAGACAAGAGTCTGAAAGATGACAAGAGTCCTGCAAATGTAAGAATCCTGGTGATGTTTAATAACTGGTCCTCTACCTCTCTAAGAATCTGCTGCATCCTTGCCCTCCCCAAGGTTTGGTTATGTGAATAGATTTACACAAGCTGTCCCCAGTTGAGCTCCTGTCATTTGCCAGCAACAGAACAGAATATTCATGAATAGATTAATGAAAAACTGATTTACCTGGATTTTCCTCCCATTAATTCTTCCAACTGATTCAACCAGATGGTTGCATAATGAAGGCATGGGCTAATTTACATGAGATTCCTGTTCCAAGAGAGAAGGAAGGTATTCATTCTGAAATACTTTTCAGACAAAAGTAAATTCCAGGTAACATATGCCAACACCATTCAGAAGTGTTTGATCAGTGTCATGCATGCAAAATGTAATCTTTTCCCCATGGAAGTTAAATTAACTGTAATTGGGTATCTCCAGAAACAGAACTTTTCCACAGTTCTTTTTGTTCTGGACCTCTCCAGAATGCAAGAGGCATGAGAACGTTTTCTAATCTAGAAGTGAATTTTCCTACTGTAAAACATAGTGGCAATTTGGCCCTGTTCCAGTCAGAGCTGGAGCTGCTGTTTGTTTAATGTCTGGACACTAAGGCTCCTTGCTGATATTAGCCTTCAGGACCGGGCTGTTGGTTGGCAGCAACTGACCTCACTGTCTCCCACGACTGTTGCCTCCCTTTGCAAGAGCTGCTCCTCCTGCTGCAATGGTGAGCTGTGCAACAGGCATGGAAGGGCAAGATTTGTCCCTGCTGGGTGCTATACTGAGTTGGTTCCTCTCACTGAGGTGACCTGTGCTTGCAGAAGAAAGCCAATGTGTGATTCAGAGTAGTATCATCATAGTTTTTCACCTGTGTGGTAAAAGCCACCTAGTGGCTCCAGGGAGGGCTCACACTGCGGTGCTCTGACTGCCCCGGGCTCGCAGCCGTCCAGGCCAGCTGCCTTGTTCCTTGGCAGACACCTGACCCTGGGGAGCAGCAGTGCTTCTGTCTTGTGCAATGCCCCCATTTCTTCGGGTTCTTTTGTCTTTGGTTTGTGGCTTGGATGTTGGTACACTATCCCTTTGGACAGAGCGCTCTCTAATCTGACCACTGCCTTTATGGGATGCGCTCTTTTTCTCAGGCGGTTCTGACACAGTTTCTCTCTTCTGAGACCTTTCCCTTTTGTGGAGCTGGTCTCTACTCACTGGATGCACCACAGCAACAGGGTGGCCCTGTATTGACTCTGTAGAGTCTTTTTCACTTTGTAGGGGCCTCTTTTGTACAGGTTGACTCTCTTGAATTGGCTGATCACCACTGAGGGCAGTTTCATCTTCTTTAGATGATCCTTGAGAAACCTCTCTTTTGAAAGATTGTCCTTTTTTGAATTCATTTGGGGACAGGTTAGTCTGGGCTTTTTTTCTGGAATGATGCATTTTTTCCCTTTTGTCTTTCTGTGCTTGGGGGTCTTTGGGTTGTGAGTCAGTGTGGGGTAGCTCAGAAATTCCTGCCAGGGGGACTTGTTGCCTTTGGTTCCCTTGGGGACCTGGAGAAGGGCTGGGATCAGGATGAGTAGGCACCTTTGTGGGAGCTGGCTTGCTAGGGGACTCCAGCTGCAAGGTCATCTGTGGGCCTCCAGATGGTGCCTTTCTCAGATGTGCTGATCCTGTAGCTGCCTCTCTTTGGAGAGGGAGTTTTTTTTTCTTAGCTCCCTCAAGCTGCAAGGGTTTTTGGCTTTGGGGTGAAGCCTGCATATCTGGGATCTTCTTGCCAGAAGGATGGCCTGCTTTGGAAGCTTTCCTTTCCTTTGCAGGCTTCGGATCAGGATAAGCCTCCTTGGTCCCAGGTGGCTGTGGTTCTGCGAAGGGAGTAGGAATCTGAGGGAGCCTGACAGTTGAAGCCTCCTCCTGGGATGTGTTGGGCACGTGCTGTGGTCCTTGGTCCTGGACAGGGGGACTGATAAGAGGGAGTTTCACCTCACTGACTTTCTCTTCCTGGACTTGCTGAGCAGTGTGGGCAGCATGGGGGCTTAGATTTGAGGGCAGTTTGGATTGGGGAGGACTGATGGCAGGAAGTTTACCAGGGTCTGCTTCCTGAGTGGGGAGAGGCCTGGGAGAAGTCATGGTTTGATCAGAGCTTGTTCTGGAAGATTCTTCCCTGCTGGGTGAGAGGAGCTTGGGGGTAGGCCTCCTGCTCTGCAGGGGTGCGAGGGTCTGAGGTTGTGGCAGCCTGGTAGGAGCCAGGCGGCTTCTGGTGAGCAAAGCCGCTGAATGTTCCCCATCCTGGTGCTGTTTCGCACTAGTGAATGAGTCTTGGGGAGGCAGCAGTTCAGGGAAAGGAGTACTGACACGGGCTGCTCCTGTCTTGGGGGTTTCCTCCTTCAGAAGTGACTGAGAGCCTCCACCAAGCTCCTTCACTGAGTCCGAGTGGGAAGGATCTTCTGGAGGATCCTGGTGGGAACTGCTGGGCGGGGCAGTGGAGGACTCAGTCTCTGCATCCTGGACTTTCTGAGGGTTGAGAGAAGCTGGGTCCTGTGCAGGTTCAGACAGGGGAGGACTGCTAGGAGCTACCCTGGCCTCTCCTGATTCCTCATCCTGGTCTGAAGGAGGCTTGTGGGGTGGAGGAGGGTCAGGGTGTTGAGGCAGGATGTGGGAAACCGTGATGGAGGCCTGCTCTCCTTCATCTGCTTCCCCCTCCAAAGGCTGGGCCTCGCTTTCAGAGACATCTGTCTCAGTGGTTGTTATTTTTGGAGAAAGACCTGACTGTTGAGCACCCTCTTCCATCGGCTGTGGGGACACATCCTGGGTCTGCTGAGGAATGCCAAGTGCTGGTGAGCTCAGCTGCTGGGCCTGCTCTGAGGAGACGAGGCTACTGGGAATCAGCTCTTTCTTCTGGGTTTCTTCCTCCTGGGCCAGCTCTTCGTTCTGGGAGGGAGCTGGGTTCTGATTTTCTGGGACCTTTACATGAACCTGCCCAGAGAGATGCTCTGTTATCTGGCCATCTTCTTGCAGTTTTGCCAGGCGTCTAGGGGAGGGAACCAGGTGTGCTGGTACCCCAGAGACAGTCTTCTTGCTAGAGGGGGCTCCTGCTTTAATATAAAAACAAGTTAGCTAAATACAGTCTTAACTGTCTAGGAGTTAATTACTAAAAATGTCTTTCCCTTTAATGGTGCATGTAGATTCTTAAATTTAAAAAAATAAAATCATATATAAGAGAACATAAATCTTCCCTTCTCCATAGATAATACTTATCTACATAACTCTTATACTTAATAGACCTTATAACAATTTTAGTCATTTAAAACATGCATAGAACCAAGTTTGGGACTGTCTGTGGGTACTGAGGAATATTTCACATGAATGAGATTTCAATTTTTTCACTATTGTAAAGCATCCATGGTATTTTGACTGTAAAAATTAAAATGGTATTTTGACTGTAAAAATAAACCTCATTAAAAGCCAAATGAGGTTCCACTTGTTTCCTTGGTTTAAGGTGGTCCCCTTAAACAATCTGTGGATTCTGTGAGGAGTCATGTCTGTCTACCAATGCTTAGTAAAGGGTATGGAGCTCAGCAGGAGTTCAAGAAGTAGTGATAAATGAAGAAGGAAAGAAAAAATGGGTCAAATGAAATTACCAGGCAGTAGTGCTCAGAAAAGCAGCTCCTGAGAACCTACAGTTTCAGCTGTTACCCCCCACCCTGCCCCACTCTGATCCCCAGAGCTCCTCTTTTCCCATGGTCTACTCCATGGTTTACTCTGGCTTCAAAGATGGTTCACTGAGGCCACTAGTGATGTTGGTACTGCAGAGAAGCATTGCCTTCTTCTATCACCATGAAGACAAGTTCTCAGAGTGACTGTGGTTTCACCCCAACAGGCACTTGCCTGGTATAGATTGGTGATCTGATTATCATCTCAATCCAGCCCTAAAAACATGGAGACATGTCTAGTTATCAGAGGTGCCACACCAGTCTGGAATAGCCTTGAAGAAAGAATGTTGGCTTACTTTGGACAAGACTAGATGCTCAGAGATTCCAAACAAAATAAGACCTCTGAGGAGACCCCAGAGTGGTCTATCCCTAGCCCCAAACGACACACCTAGCAGCCATTCCCTCTTCCCTGAGACAAAACAGGCTTGCAGTACTCTGAGTTCACCCTGAGCCAGCCTCCTAGTCTAGACTCCTTCTGCATCCAGTAAAAACTATATGTCCCCTAGAAAGGAGAGGACAAGCAGGAACAAGAAGAGCTGCCTGCTTGGTAGGGTTTCTGGGCACAAGCCCTGCTCATCACTCTTATCTCACAGTTGAATAACAAGAATAAACTAAAATACTACTTTAGGTAAGAATCAAGGTTACATTAAAATATAAAACAGTAAAAACATCTCAAACAGGCAAACCCTTAGAGAATAAAAACTAGGTCAGAGGTTATCAGGTATTAGGAAGAAAGTTTCTGTTTTGGATAATGAAAATTTTTGCAAATAGATAGTGATGGTGGTTACACTACATTGAGAATATAACTGATGCCACTGAATTACACACTTAATATAGCTGAAATGGCAAATCATACATACATATAATAGGTACACGTGCACATAATATATATATATGTATATGTTTTTGCACATGTATGCATTTATGTATGTATTTATGTGTATATGTACACAATTTTTTTTACAATTAAAAGATAGAAAAATATAAGAATAATGAAGTCCAAGTATGAAGGTGTTTTGCTCCATCCTTCTCATTTTTGACAGACACTGATCTTCCTACTTTCATTATTTAACAACACATATAATTTGACAAATGATAGTGTCCCCTTTATTTATAATGGCACCATTTTATGGACTTGTAAAATGTTGAGTTTTCCTCTGTTTACCTTATCATTAATACCATTTCTTCTACCTTAGTCAGAATTATGAACAATGATTTGCAAATATAATTTCATTTCATGATCTTTATAGCAAGAGCTCAGGGTGATAATTTTCTAAAATCTTTATTGAAAGCAAGATTATCCCAGAAATAGGTTCTCTAGAGACAAACAGAGAGAAAGACACCTGTTACACTGAGTTGCGAAAAGAGTGAAGTTTTTCTTTATATTATAACTGGCTCTCTCTCTCTCTCTCTCTCTCTCTCTCTCTCTCTCTCTCTCTCTCGCAAGCGCACACTTTAGGTCTTCTTGCTTTAGAAACTAATACTACCTGTTTTACTATAAAAAAGCAAGACAATCCCATACTTAATTGGTATGTATTTTACATTAATGATATACCTGAAGAGTTCATTAGTTAACCATCATTCTGTGCCTAAAGCTACTATTTTATACATTCATTAAATGAAAATTAAATTACTATGTCCACTGGTGAAGGCTTGCATTTCTGGATTTGGCTCAACAGATGCTGTATACAAAAGTGATAGACCTTGGGGCTTACTGTTATCCCTTTTTAGGCTCTCATTACTAAGAGAAGAAATCATAGTTGCCTTGCATTCTCAGTGACAAACTAGCAACATATAATCACTAAGGATAAAGCTATATATCACTATTTCATATATTTGGGAATTATCTTTACTTTGATATATATCTTTCTTTCAGAAAGATGATGCTGGCCATAAAAAGTGTTTGCATCAAAGCCTAAACACACAGATGATTTAATCTAACTGGGGAAAACCTCTCCTCTGGAATGTTAGATTCTAACGATGTCCTGTAACACTGTTTTCTTTTTCATAAAAAAATGACTTTCAAAATCATTTCTTGAAGCAAATTAATGACTACTAGCTATGTTTAAAATAGAAAAGTAAGTTTTCATATTTCCATTTTAATTTTTTCTTGCTCAAGCCAAAAAGTTTTTCATAGAATTTGTACATATTTTTATTTCAATTTCTTTCCTTGGAGAGCTAAATTGTTCAAATAAAACTATTTCACTACATTAAAATTATTGTTTTTTTATTTTGTGGCATCTTACTTAGATAAATATTTATAAATCTTATAAGTATTTGTATAAATATAGCTAAATCCATGAACTTAACATTTGAGTGATATTAAGCTCGGAGATGAGGCGAAGAAGGAGGAGACACCAGCTAGCCCCATAACAGGGGCCTGTGGGTCCTGAGCCCTTTCTCTAGGAGTTTGACCTTTTAAAGGTAATTATGGTTGGGCCCCATTCTCTGGCGCTGAACCTATAAATATCTGGCACACAAACCTTGCCACAGTTTTTGGTTCTGAAACTCAAAGAAACCATTCATTCTACTTCTTGGTTCATTGAAGACACCCTAAAATTTAATACTAAGAACTATGTTTCTTTAGGATATTTTAAATATTTACTTGACTAATGGTGAGCCTCTACAATGTCATTTTCTGTGCAAGCTTAAACAGTCAACTACGAAATATAACTACCTCTGCAACTTAACTGCATACACAAGATGAAGTGTTATTTTCCAAAATATCAAGCCTGCCAGGAAAGCAAAGGTCTTTTGAAGCTAGTGATTTGATATTAACTGCAATTCTTTCCATCTACTTTGTAAGCTGGAATTGTATTAGTCAATAACTAAATAGTTCAGGTTCAGTCAGTAAATGTGTCTGAGAGCTATAAATTTTATAAATTCTATAATTCATATCTTTTTCAATATATGAAACTGCCTTAACTTAATTAGCCTATATAAATAAAGTTTTATTATACTCTTCTATGCACATATTATCTGGTCTATTAATTTGCCAAATGGCCACTGCATCCAACAGTCAATATTCCTGACTGTTGTAGAAGGAAGAAAGATACAGAATAGAGAGATGGAGTTCCTGCTAGCTGTTAACACTAAGACCTGTTCATGCACTTCTGTTCAGAGGCATCGATACAGAAATGCACATGGTCAGCTACTCAAACTGGTTTGGCTCTGGGGACTGATCCATGTTTATTCAAAACCACAAGAGCTTGACATAAAAACCAGCACACCAATTTACTGATTTACAACGGAAGGTGGGTCGGGCTCAGGGAGAAGGGTAGGGTGTTCTAACGTAAGGTACAACTCCCACAGGGGCAGGTCCACCCAGAGGGCCAAATTAAAGATCAAAAGATTGCTTGGATAACAAAGAATTAAAGCCATGGGAGCCAGATTTCCTCAAGAGAAAGTTCTCTGCAACCCTTATTAGGTACACTGCACTGTTCTACTCAGTAGTCATAGCTTTGTAAAGAACTGGTGCTTGGTACAGAGAATCACAGCAGGGTTAAACAGATACACTGACATGTTCATAATTTGAGGCCATCCCACTTTATAGATGGAACCCAACCCTCACTCCTCCATTAATACCGTTTTTAGACAGGTCAAACTTTCTTTGGGTACTTTCCAGCTGGAAGTCATGCCCTGGTCACTTAATCTCCTACGAAACAAGCATAAAAAGAAATTCTGCTGATTTTTTTTTTTACTTACACTGACCTCATTCCAAAACACTAAGGGCACTTGACCTGGAAAAAGTGTGCAAAAACTTGCAAAATGGCACAGCTGGTTTAAACTCTGGAAAAATTATGATTTGGCCTATCTCAGTTTTCCAAAATGCAACAGAGTAAAAAAAAGTCATATTTGAGCTGTCATAAAAACTAAACCATAGAGCTACATAGAATATACAAAGCAGTTAAGAGTATAGTGGTCACATTTATTACAAACTGTGAATGGAGTTCAGTCCACTGAGGGGATCTTTTTAAAAACAATTCTTTTGTAGTGAAATTCAGATGTAGATATCTTTTACCTATATTTCAAGTGTACAGATCAATGGCATAAGTACATGCACAACCATTTCCACCATCACGTCCAGAAATCTTTTCATTTTCCCCAACTGAAACTCTGTACCCTGTACATCCCTCTATTTGCAGCAGCATTATTTATATTAACCAAAAAATAATGTTTCCAATGTAAATATCCATTGATTGATAAGACAAGTACCATTCTATTTAGTAAGGAGGATAGATAATCAGAATCTTTTTCAAATGGGAAAGGAAGAAGAACACAAGACAGGGAGGGGGAAGAAGAGAAAAAGATTTTAAAAAAGAGAATCAAAGAAAAATGGAAATAGAGCTTTTTCAAATAGGAAGAGGATTAAGAGTTGGCAGGAGCAAAAAGGGATGGAAGGGGAAAGGAACAAAAAAAGAACTGTGTGTTACATACATGCACAAATTCCCCCACATTAAATGTAATCATTATGCACTGCAAACATGAACTAACAAGAAAAAATACATCAGCTTAAAAAATACTTGTGGATCAAAATTCTAAGCCTAGAAATCCTGTATTCCAATGCGACTCACTCTTACCTCCTACATCATTTGCTGCATTCATTCATTTACCTACAAATGCCTCAAGTTTATCCTTTTTTAAGGCAGAGTATTGTCTCATTGAGTATCAATGCTTCATTTTGTTTATTTCTATATCCATTGGTGGACAGACAGGCTGTTTCCAAGATTTAGCTATTAGAAATTGTGCTTCTGTTGCACTGATATTTATCCTGATCCATGAGGTGGAGGCAGGAATATCCAGAAGTCCATTTAGCTGGTCAGAAAATTGAAACTCAGACCAGATAAGAAATTTGTCAAGGAACATGAGGGCCAGCACCAGGGTTATCTAGTCAGTGAGTTTCCACTATATTTTGTGGTGTAACATTTTGAGGAACGAGCAATTCAAAGAAAAACAATGAAAGAAAACTCCTGGACTAAGTCTAAACCTGATGAATCCCTGTAAGAGAATAAGCTTCTTGAAGGCTAAATTCTAAACCATGACACTAACTCGGTCTACTGCACCGTTTCAAGGAATTACCCTGCATGTCTCCGAATTCCAATATAGCCATGAAGACAAGCAGAGATACAGACAGATCTACAGGGCTGATTCATATGGTTTGTTTGTGGGAACAATCACCTCAGAAGAACAGGCATTAAACCAGCTCTACCCTGGCTGACAAGTACTCAAATAATAACTCAGGGACTGGCATTTTTTCCATGAAAACAAATGCCAGCACACAGGATATGCTACTGTACCTGCAGTTGGAGCCAGGCCCTTGGCAGGTTCTTCAGCCAATCCCAGGTACTCCCTAATGAGCTGACTCAGCTTTTGGTAGGCAACATCCAGATCGTCTACAGTAAAGGAGACATTTAGTTTAACGCAATGGGATCATGTCAAAATACACTCTGTGTTTAACTGCTGGTGGCAATGATTTAGCCACTACTTTTAATTTTATGAATATTGTGGTAGGAGGAACTAAAATCACTCAAACGTCATTTCACTTTTGTATAACTTTCTGCCTGTAAGCATGGGCAGAAGCTGTAGAGCTAGTGAGATGTCAGTGCTCTGACTATGTTATATTATATGGGACTTTTGTAGATGTAAATAGGATCACTAATGAGTTTGTAAAAAGGGAGATTATCTGGGTGGGTTCACACTACTCACACGAGCCCCATAAAAAGAGAGGGTTTTCTCTAGCTATTGGCAGAAGTCAAAGTCAGAGACTCCTAGCACAAGGAGGATTGGATGCGCTGTGAAAATGGCTAGCACCATGCAGAAAAGACCTTCAGTCTGTAGTGCGCTCTATGGACTAAAGGTAACCTTTGGAGACAGGTAACAGGGCCCTTGGTCCTACAACCACAGAAAGTGCATTCTGCAACAAGAGTAAACTTTGGAGAACATTTTTCCCCAGATATCCTTTAGAGGATATCTCTGTCTTACTGACAACATTATCTCTGCCTCCTGATTCCCTAAGCAGGGAGCCCAGCTACACTGTACCAGACTCTTAACCCAGAACTGTGCCCTAATAAGTGGATATTATTTTAAGCCACTGATGGTGATCATTTCTACGCAACAATAAAAATCCAATGTGAAAATGTAATATTTTAATGTTTTAGAAACTACAGAGTATCAAATTGAGCTATATGAAATTGTTTATGTAAGTCAAAAAAATTGAGTATCAGAAATTTCATGTGATTCCAAACCTCTCCAGTCCTCCATCAAAAGAAGGTAATCAGTATTAATTTTTTTTGAGAATTCTTTCAGTAATATTTCCTATAGACGTACAAGAAAATACAATAACGTAATTTGTTACATAAACAATAGCATACCATACTTATGGTTGTGAATCTGGATTTTTTAAAACACCAGTATGATTTAACGATAGTTTCTTACCTATATGCATTATTTTCTTGTTGCTTTTTTATAGATATGAAATATCACACAGTTCTAAAATACGTAGAAGTTTCGATATCCCAAGAAATTTTCCCAGTGATTACTGCTCCAAGTAATTAGCCATTTCTAAGTTAGTTTTTTGTTTGTTTGTTTATTTTTTTGTACCAGGGATCAAACTCATGACCTGGTACTTGCCAGGGAGGCCTTTGTGCCTCTGAGCTAAACGCCTGGTTCCCTAAGTTAGCTTTTTAAAATGTTTGATTTACACAGACATTTTTACGGTCACAGTTTTAGTAATTCAGCTTTCAACTATAGGTAGATTATTGATACAAAATGTTTGAGTTTTATATGTCTTCCTAAAAATTTAAATATCTACTTCAAATTATTATCTAACTTTGCTCTTGCCATGTCTCTAATGAAGGAACCTATTTTATTCTAAGTCTTATTAGTTAAGATCATTCAGAATAACAAAGATAACACTCTGACTAAAATTGGGACGTTAGATCTTGTGTATTTTTACCCTTTTTGCAGCTCTTTGTAATTGACTGCTACAAAATTTCCCTTAAGCATTTTATTTCCATGAAGCAAATTTTAACCCAATGACCCCATATATCAAAAGTAAAACTCTGCTAAGAGTTACTGACCTGCATTGATTACTGCATCAAAGTAACCTGGAAATTTCTGATTAATTTTAATATAAAGGTCCACTCTGGAGACAGCAAGTTCAATTTCTGCACGACTGAATAATCCTTTTCTCCGCAAGTATCCCTCATATGTTTTCTTATTCATGGGTAGCACCAAGATATATCGAGGTTCAAAATAGGAATATTTCAAACTTCTTACACCCTAGGTGTTTAAAGAAAAGATAGTAAGTCAGAAACAGACACATGATTTAGAAATTATTTTGGAGACATCTGATAACACAGGTACAATATTCTGTATTATATTAAATTTATTTTGTCTGAAGAATTAGCCACTATTTGCCTAAAAATATTTCAGTCTTGGAGTACTTTTCTTTTCATCAAATATTAAATTGTCACTGCAAATATTAGAATTCATTCCACTTGGTTGCCCTGCTAATCATGCTAATGAATATAACTGTTAAAAAAGAAAATTGTTGGATATAAAACAGGTACATTCATATCAGTACTGCTACTTTATTACCAAAAAGTGATTTTAATCCTATATTTCATAAGGCATCATTGAAACACAAGATGTTTGCAGAGAGAAAAAACTATTTGTTGCACCTCAGTGATCACCTTGGGACCCTTCCTGTTCCTAAACCAGCAACCTGGGTGGGTTGATTCCAATTGCATCTGACAGTCCCTGTCCAGGGAAAACTGTGAAGACCAAAGTCATGGTAACCTGCTAACCAAGAGATCACAGTGTGAAGCCAGGTAAGGTGCTAGTCTGCAAACATGGAAAGCTTGGTTTATGACCATTGCTCTCCAGTTCTTATAGGCAAATCCCCCAAGCTCTCTACACATCAGTTTCCTGGTAGGTAAAATGAATGAGTTGTTCCAAATGGATTCTACAGTCCTTTCTATCCCATTTCCATCATCATCAGTTTAACTCAAGCTCAAAATCTTTGTTTTAAAACAGTATTTCTTTCAGTAGAAAAAAATACAAGCTCTTTTTAAAACAGTTTCTGGAAGAGTCAACAATAAAGACAGTTTGGAAAAAATACTTCAGCTGGAGAGAACCAGGGGAATAAAACATGGTTTATAGACTCGACCTCTTGGAAATGAGTAGCACAAAGCTCTCAAGGAGGAGTAAAGTAAAACAGGAGCCATCACTCAGATAACTGTTGAAGTAGAAAAAAGGTAGACACAAAAAGACGGAGCATTTTTACACTCAAAGATGCCTTAGTTTTTGTTTCTGTTTTGTCCAGGAAGAAATTTTTAATAGGTCTTCAAAAAAACTAATTAACATAGAAGCAAAAAAATCCCTTCTTAAAGATACAAAACCAATCAACTGTGAATAGAAATGAAAGGGTTGTGCAAAAGATTTAAAGGCTGGAAGAAATGTAACAAGTTCTGTGGACACTAGAGAAGAATTAAACCAATTCAGGGAGCAGACTGATTTTCGTCTCTCGTTCTGTGAAGTTACAGAGGCCAATACTTGCAAGATTCAGAGTTAACAGGAAAAAAATGCCAGATTTGCTTAGTTTATATTTCCTTTAAGTCTGACATTCTTGAGTTATCTTTATTATAAAGCTCAAGGAAAGTACCTGAAAAAAACAACTGTTTCTGAAGATTGTATAGTATTTAATAAAGCTATACATATTTATATTTTTTTTAAAAAAATAAAGGTCAATGAAAATTTCATGATTTCATTCTGGGTTTTAATTTTGGAAAACTTTATTTATGTTCTAATTTTACAAGGATTTTTTTTTGGTAGGGTGGGGGGTGTGGTAGAAAGAAAAATCTCCGGACCCTGCAAGTCTAAACTGCTGGAAGTATAAAAGATACAACACTGAGCCACAGGAGAGCCCACACAGTTCCCATGGAGAGCGCAAAGGATCAGAGCGACTGACTACTGAAGGGACAGGGAGCCAGGTCCATGCACTGCACAAGTCAGGCTTTATCTAACATCACCTTGGAAAAACAGAGACCATGCTAGAAAAAGAAGAAGGATAATTTACCCATGCAATTTTTTAAAAAGTCTTGAAAGATCATTTTACTCATACTATATATACACTTTCTTGAATTGTGACCTACATTCTGTCACTTAACTCTTCACCTATCTTGTCTGCCCCATACTAACTATAAATGTAATACCTCACACTCTGGTACACATTTCTCTTGTGCCTTGCTCTGTACTGGCTAAAAATTACATATTTAACTTCACACACACACACACAGACACACACACACACAATTAATTCGATTAAAACACTTACTTCTATTTCCATATGGATACAGCTTGCTAACCCATCTCTTGCGATACCTTCCACGGTGTCCCTATTTAATCCATAACTGTAATTGCCATAATTAAATGTTAGAATGAATTTCCCCTAAAATTTGAAAAGTATAAAGATTTCATGTAACAGCAGTCATAATGAAATTTGGTATAAGTAAAATAGCTTGATCTCTTATTTTTAACAAATATTAGTGACCTTAAGAACAACCAAATGATAGCATGGTTATGAAACTGAACATCAAATTGTGATAAAGAAATTTACCCAGAATCCTCAGCTGACAGAAAATAGGTTTGTGGAAATAATCTGGTGACAAACTATTAGAGAAGTGTTACAGACCATTTGGGTTACCCACCCACTTTCCAACAAACCAACAACACTAACCTTCAGAGACAGTGAAACTAATAGCCTGCTCTTTGCCCCCACCTTTTCAGCTCTGCCAATATTCCAGGTAGTCCAGAAAATGTCCCCATTTCCCAAAGCCTTGCATTCCAAGATAAACCATAAGTTATGGATAATTCCTGGAGGCTATGATATACATGGATAACCACAACATTTTAAAAAATAGGCTCACCATGTTTTTCCTCACACAATAGCTTTACATTGAAACTTTTCCAAGTATTATTCAACAGAATTGTGCACTGCCGTAGTCATCAGAACAATAAATAGCACCCCCTCCATGTTACAGAAGCTCAGTTCTTCTAACAGCTGTACTCCCTTGCAAACATGGGGATAAAAACGTCTACCTTAAAATTGCTTGTGACTTTTCCTTTGACAGTATTATATTTATTAAACCACCAGGTCTAATCTAAAATGAAAGGCTGATGACAACAGAAGGAACAGTAATGTGGATGACCTTAGTAAGTGTGATCTCTCATGTATCTGATTTTAAAGCAAATAATGAAGTGAGACCTTCCAAGGCTGCACTGAATCTCGCCAAAGGGAAGCCACATCATTAAGAATAACAAGTAGTTAAGAGTTTATTGCCACCCTCCTGGGCCCAGATGTTCTCGAGATATGTGCAGACGGAGGATGGGCTATCCATCATGGGAAAGGTGTTGAGCAAGAGTCACAGGATGTCTCTCAGGATTGGCTGGATCTCTGGGAGATGTGCCTTCTGCAGGCAATGAGGAAACACACACAAACACCCATAATCAAATGAAGTTTCTGTTACATATAGTATTTCCAAAGGTAAAAAGTCGAAAGCACCCTTGAAACCATACCCCTTCAGTATCATGCTGTCTTTGTTCTTTGGAAAAAATACTGTAGCTCCTTTTTCTTATAAGAAAGTATGTTTTACTACAAAAAATTATATATAACACTATTGCTCAGTGATATATATATATATATATATATATATATAATGTATTTTTTAGCTGTTACAGGGTGTGATGGTTTATTTTACATGTCAACTTAGAGGATATCTGAAGATGAGATTAACATTTAAACTGGTGAACAGTGTAGAAGACTGCCCTCCACAATGTAACTGAGCTTCACTAATCAGGGGAAGACCTGCATGGGACAAAAAGGTCAGCCTTTGGACTTCACCTGCGCCATCTGCTTTCCTGGGGCCATAGGTGGGTGGGTCCCTGCTGCAGATTTGGGCTTGCCAGTCTCTGTAACCAGATGAGCTGAGTTCTTTTATTATCTCTTTCTATATACATCCATACACTCTATAGTTTTTGTGGGAAAACGCAACTATACTCTGGCACCCTGTTTTCAAAATATATAGATTTTTGAATTATTATTCCAATATGTGTTTGCTTACTTGTGTGGACATTCTTTTGTAGATCCCAAAAACATTTTCTGGATAGATGCAGGGCTGGGAAAGATCTTGTGTTATCCCTCTATTTATGTGATCCCATTAAATTCATTTGCTAAGCCCTGAGATGAGGTATCCCTTTTGTTTGGGCTGCAATATTCCTTTCATTTCTTGCTGCATGTGGATTTCCATAAATAACAATAGTCATACTTCAAAAATTTCCAGGTCTATGCTTTCATTTCCACAAGAAAGAGAGCATTTTTGTGGATAAGTGATCACCTGTGTACCTATAAAAGGGTTCAGGTGTCTGTGGGGCACATGTGGGAAAGATCTGTGGGTTGAGGAAAGCGCCTGCTGGAAGAAGCCTGTGGTTATGGGAGGGTGAAAGTCACATGCTGTGCCTGTCTACAGTAGTGTTGGGGGTTGGTAAGACATGGCGTCTGGGTTGGAGTCGTGAGTGTGCAGAGGCATCTACATGCAGAGTTCTGATGTGTGGGCGTGACTGGTGTCTGACAATGTGTTATGAATTTATAATCTCTAGGTTTATCTCCTCAAGAAATAGTCTCACAATCATGTTAAAGAAGCTCAGAGGCAAAATTCAAGTAGAAGAAAATGACATTATATTAAAGTAATATACGCTTGCAGAAACAGTAAAAAGGAAGACTTCTCAAACACATGGGGATTTTTATAAAGTGTAAAACTACAAGGCTGACTATAACACGGAAGTATAGTGATTTGTTAGACTAGGAACTGAACCACACTCACTTGGTCTCAGACCTCATAAGGTGTGGAACATCAGGGAAGGAGGCAGAGTGCTCAACAACAGTGAATTCAACCAACAGGAAAATACCTTAGAGTCCAACAGGAAAAACTAATCATAATTTTGGAAACAGTTGTGTTTCAATCTACAGAGTGTTAAAAAAGCCTATGGCCATACCATCCTGAATGTGCCCAATCTTGTTTAAAGAGTCTTAAGAGAATGGTTCTTAGTACTGTCAAGGTAACTCCTCCAATCTCTATTAAGACTTTAGAAATATGAAATTCCAGAGAAATCAATAAATCTGACTAATTCCCAAAATAGAGCCCTTAGAAAGAAAGTTATAATGACCATAATGTTCTTTTGAGAACATTAGAGGAGAAACTGCCCCGGGAGTGTAGAATGTTCTCATTGGTGATTCTGTGTGGGCACAAAAGTCCTGGAAGTACACACTGTGTGCAGAATCAGATCTTCAGAACTGCACTATGGAAACCTGCAGAGCTTGACTGCTCTATGATGCTTAAATGTTCGCTGATAATGCACACTGGGGGTACAACCAGAGTCATTATTCAGGGGTGATGACAAAGACTACAGGAAGGAAAGAGGAGGGGACAGAAGGGAGGAAAGATATAGCTGTCAGAGTCACTGGCTAGATGGTGATCTTTCAAAGGCACAAACAGATTACCCCTCATCTTTCCTTTCAAGAAGGCTTTAGAAGAAAAGTAGTAGTATGGGATTCATTTGGCAATGGAAAGAAGGATAATATAAATAAAACTAAGGCTGATGGTGAAGAAGAAGCAGATTTGCAGATTCATTAGCAGTGATGAGGATGTGAGACACTCAGTTTAACTGAAGTCATAAGTGGGTTGTGTGCTGACATTCACATGTGCTTTCAATAGATCAAACATCTGAGGTTTGTGGGGACCACCTTTTCATATGAAATCCAAGAAGAAATAAATAAATTGACTTTTTAAAGTGAATTCAGAGACAAAGGTGTTGTGCATTACTACCAATGACTAGATTATCAAGGTTTCCATAAAAACAAAAAACAAAAACATTTTAACTCAAAAGAGATTTACAAGTATAAAATTTAATTTTTCCCTTTTTAAAAGAATCACTATTTCCTACCTAATATTTCTGAACTAGAACACATATTACTTATACAATAAACATATAGGGAAAACCTTCTTACCATGTTGAGCATTTCATCAAAAACTTCTTGAGAGATAAAATGATAATCAACTCGATCCCCTTCTCCAAAGTATGGTGGCCTTGTAGTGTGACAGGCCCTGAAACCATAAAACAGAGAGCCTAGTCTATTTCTAGGACCTTGAAATTCAAAATGGAGGTTTGAGTAAACAAAATGTTTAAAAACTTGAAATTGATCCATACATCATAAATCATAAAATAATCTAATTGTGAAGCCACTTTGGTTGTAAAGGGCTGGGCCACATTCAGTCAGTATAATCTTTAAAGATTATACAAATTTTGGATTAGCAGTATCAAATTTTTACTCAATGCTATTTATTGCCTTCTGAATCACCTAATAATTTTGAATAGGTACAATAGTATCTATCATCCACCCAACTGCTTTCATTTTCTCTCTGCTCTGTGAGTATTTTCACAGGCTCCCCTCCTCTCTCTACCTTGCTGGCCGACTTATTTTGCAGGACTCAATTTGTCACCTCTCTCCACATTTTTGCTGGGTTCCTCTGTCTGCATTGTGCACTTCTTCATACTCTCATGGTCTCAATCTGTGCCGGCTGCAGTCTAGTAATTGTTCAGAGCCCCATCTCCTCCCATATTTGAGGGCAGAGACTTCTCATTCACCCTGTGCTGCGAGGCATGTTGTTATTACACTTGACCTTCCTGTGGGAATCTACAAGTCCAGGCTGGATGGAATTCTCAACCAGAAAGGTCTTTTCTATCCACTGTCTAAAATAACCTCCCCACCTCATAAGACCCCTGACTACACTCTATTACCAGAACTGTCTTCTTTCACACAGATTTTTTTTCTATATCCCCAGAACATATGAATCATGAAGGGAGGACTTTGTCTTGTTCATCTTACATTCCCAGTGCCTTACATACAGCAGATATTCACTAAATAACTATAAAGTGAGTTAAAATGAAACACACGAAGTGTCTAACAGCAGCTAGGAACTCCATGGTATGGATAACTGTCAAAGTGACTACCCAAGGGTCACAATGAAGCCTGGGCCCAGTTCCAGAACTACAACATGGAGTCCCCGCTACCCAGGACTCTTCATTTCATAACACTCTGTCCTCCCAGGGTTAAGTTCTGGGAGTGAAAGCTGATCTTTAGATTATTCTGTGACTTTAAAACAAGAGATGAGAATAGTTAAACACTTGGAGTGTTATTTAAGGTATTTCTCATAAGAATCATGAGGTAGATATTATTTCTTATTTCTGTTTTGCAGGTAATGAAACTATGGGCAGTTCCTACTGCCTTCAAATTGAGACACAACAATTATGTATGTTCCTAAGTAGCAACACCAGCATGATTCCCAAGTAAACTCTTTTTAATAGCATACTAATTAAGACAGTAAAGTTGCAGTCTCAAAACCTATCAATCATAAAGTCAAAGGCAAACATTTATATCTCACATAACTATCTATGCCCCTTCTATTATGATCAAGAATTGATGGCACTAGGACACGTTCAGGTCTCCACATTACATTTAAATTATATACTCTGGAAAGAGTATACACCCTCAGAGGAGTCTGTCGAAACACTGTGACATTTGTTTTGTGGTTTGAAAGCACTGGCATTTCTTCCCCTCCTGTTGGCAGAGACCTGAGACCCTCTGTCTATTGCTGTCCATGACAGTTAGGGAAGATAAATCTGTGGCCTGGCATCCTGGGCTGAGAACCCTTAGTGCAATCTTCACATGCTACACTGAATTTACATTTCCCTACAAAAGAATTGAGTGGCAGGCACTTTTTTCAGAATTCTTAAAAGGAAGACAAAACAAAGAAGCAATTTGAAGCATCTAGACAGGTAAACAAAGCGATGGCTCCACTGATGTGGAGAAGGTTGATGACAGAATCTGCAACTGTGTAGAATTTTCTATTAAGAAGGACCTGGGATGATCTGTGGGGTTTTTTTTTTTTTCATCTGTCATCCAATTTTCAGATATAGAAATGTTCACTGTGTAGTACGCTGCCCAACTGTGAATATCTTAAAAGGCATATTTCATAGTAAAAGCAATGTTTCACCAAACTTACTTGAAAAAAAATGATGCTGAACTCAGACAAATTTATTTGAGTCATACATTTCAAAATCTTTTCCTGCCTCTGCCTAAATATGTCCATGAGTTTGTTATTTATTAATTAATTTCCTAGGCAAATCAAAGTAAATATCAAATCATGGTTTGTAATAGAAGCCACACTTCCTGTTAGTTTTACTTAACAGACAAAAGAACCAATATAGAGACTAACCCAGACTGTGCCTCTGGTCCTAAATAAAAGCCCAAGAGTAAATTTAGATATTTTTAGGGCCAAATAATGGTGAACTGTCCTTAATGCCATTAAGAAAAGAGTCCCTGAAGAGGAGATCACCAGGAGCAAAAGGAATCTTGATAAACAGTCCAAAATATGGAATGCTAAAATGTCCAGGGAGAATAGGAAGAAAAGATGTCTGAGAACAGCTGGCAAATGGATGAGGAAGAAGACTTTTTTTCAGTGTGATTCAGAAGCATGCATATTTAGAATCTCAATTTGGGACCAGATTGCTGCAGGAAACACAGCAGTTCTTGATACTACCAATATTTAGACAGAGGCTTGGCGGTGAGCACACACGAACTCAACCACAGTATAACACACAAAATTGTGCAAGAGCATTTTCAATGGGTCTTCATAAAAGCCCAGGTATTCCTAGATCATTTGATAGGTAAATTATATTTGTTTTAACACTCAGTGCAACAATACATCAATAAATTGCTAGACACAATTTAAGGGCCATGAACACAGGGATTCTTGTACATATTACATCCGAATATCAGACTCATGAAGCTCCTACTCTGTTCATGTTCCATAACTACACACCAGCTTCCAACTCCTGCCTTTGTCACCTGTCACTGTATTCTAATCAGTCTTCTTGTCTCTTGCCTTCCTTCTGCAAGGCTGTTCTAACTGTCGATGGGATACCCTCTAAAATGCAGCTGAGAATATCCCATCCCCTTGCTTAAAAGCCCTTTGTGCCCAGAACCCTTGACCTTGTTTCCAGTCTCTTCTTCTGCATTTTCTATCATACTTCAAGCTCAGCTATGCTACCATGAGTGTGCTTAGTTAATGAAACCCGCCTGCTGTTCTCCATGAAGAGTGTGACCCCACTCAAGCTCCATATCCTGCTTCTTTTTCACTTTGATCACTCTTGACTTTCCTTGTAATTGCAAACTATCTTGCTACATAGCATTTCTTCTTTAAACCCCATATCAGACTGACAGCTTTCAGGAGAGTAAGACCCATGTGGGTTCATTTCAGTTTTATTACAAGAACATGGCACATGGACAGTGCTCAGTTAATATTGGTTGAACAAGTAAATGAGCCATTCTCCAAGTCTGTTATATTTGTATAGATAAATTAGAGTAGACTGCATTTAGGTTGCTATGTCTCACACCACCTCATGGAACTTCTTTATTATAATGTAATTACTTTATGATAATACTAAAGGTAAGGTATACTTAGTAGTCATGAGAAAGTTATAAACATAGACTGATATAAAATGGATTTTAAAAAGAATAAAGGTTTTCTTCAGGACTATTCAGATCAGTAACATGGCCATAATTCTGGAAGATTAATGGGCATGCTAGTACTGTTTCATGGTACTCTCATTATCCAGTACTTTTCCAAGGAGCTACTGATTTGTGTGGTAATATAAAGTTAGAAATAAACAGACAGGCGCTGAAGGCGGTAAGTGTGCATCTCCAGGCTACTCATAACTAATAGTGGTAAAGAACATCCAATCTATTTCTAAAAACAAGAACAAATAGTAAAATCACAACTTAAGACTAGAGCAGATTTCTCAGCCACACCACTATTTGTTAAATGACTGAATTATGTTTTTACTTATCTGTCTGGATATGCAACTTAGCATGTGAAAATTTCATGGAATGTCTGGATCTTCAGTCAGTGTAATTTAAAAAGGAAGCAAAACACCAGGAGAAAATAAATAGGAGGAAAACATTCAAGCAACTGGCAGGAAAAATGCCTTTATAAATGCTTTTATATTTCACAATGAGACCATATCCATGCCTACTTTCATTTAATTAAAAATCAATAAAACTTGTGCTATATAAAGAATTTAAAAAGAAAGTCTAAACAAAAGCATTACCTTTCCCTGAAGATGTGCTATGGTTTTATCTTCACTTTTAATTAAAAAATTGCTGCATATAATGGGAGAACTCCCTTACATTCTCAATGGATGAAATTACTAGCTATCTGACACCCCTCTTTTCTTTCATCTAGTGACATGGTCTTTGTTCTGGGACTTGAGGGAACTTTCAGATGTGCACCCCCAAACAGGCCCCAGGCTCTGCCTCTGTGAAGGCGGCAATGAGGGGTTGGCCGGCACTCCTGGGCACTCCTGAGCCCGCGAGGAAGGCGAAGGCGGTGAGTGAGGATGTAATCAGCAGGGAGCAGCCAGCAGTATTTTTCCACTCACCGCTAATTCCAGGCAAAAGATAAAAATCCCAGAGGCAGCACGGCTGTGAGGTTCGTTTTAAGATTCTGCTTCCCCATCTCAGCCTTCCACACAAACCACACAGCAATAATTATCCAAGGGCTGAGTTCCCCATCAGATTACATATTTCATGAAGGCCAGGACCTCACTAGTCTTGTTTTCACTCTGTCCTCACAAGCACATGGAAGGAACTCAAGAATGAATGAATCTATCCAGTTCCCCATATGCACATGTCAGGAATATTATCTATGCCTCTTACGACAGCTATTCCACTAAGCACTGTACATGTTAATTCAGCCATTTATTCACTCAGTCATTTCATGCATATTCACCATACACATATTACGTGCCTGGACATCTGCTGGGCATTGAAAACAAAAATGGTAAACAAGGCCGACATGGCCACTACCTTCACTGGGGTTATAGATCAACAGGGAAAACAGATATGAAATAAAGCAATCAAAGCACAATAAACTTTTTAATAAGGAAAATGCAGGATTTAATGAAAATGAGTAAGGGAAGGGCAAGTAAGAATGTAGAGGTCAATTAGACCAGAATCTTGATGGTGATTCAACAAACCCTCCAAAAACACTTCAGACCAATCACGCCTCTGCAGTAGCACATCACAAGCAAACAAAAAGGACTGTGCTACCAACTCTTAGCAATATTAATTGGTATCAGAGAAACCAGAGAGAGAGAGAGAGAGAGATAGCTTCCTGAGTCATTTAGTTGCTAAAGTGTTCCAAATTTACACTTTTGCCCTAGTTTGACCTTCTATTCTTTGTATTCAGGTTATCTTTTAAAACAGGTTAGGTCTCTCCACAGAAGTATAATGGCACTGTATATTTTTTAAATTCTAATATTAACTTTTATTTTTGTTACTCCAGAGTATTTAAAATATATTAATCAAATTATTCAATAGCATGTGTATCTTAGAGTTGTCCAAATGTGGGCTGCAATTTTAAATATCTAAATGAATGAAAAATGAAATGTAAAGTGGATAACAGCTGCTAGGAACTCTACTGTTTGAACATGGGCACTTAAGGGAAAGGCCTTTTGTGACAGTATTAGAAAAGTTTGCAGTTATTTTTCTTGCTGTCCTATATATCATCGTAGTCACATCCTCAGCTTATCAATATGTTTCCCTAATCTAAAAATAATTATTTTTGCAACACAAAAAATAAAAGAGGAAACCCATTCAAGACAATGCAGTGACAATTCTAAATCTAACTCCCAGATACCTCTTTAATCTTGCAGGACAATTTTCTTGGATGGTACTAGTGTTCCTGACACAATCCTCTATCTTCACAGGGGCATAGGGACACATTCAACACAGTATTTGCTCCAGAAAACTCAAGTGTATTGACTGCTTCTCTGAAGGAAAGAACAGGAAACACTTTTGCTGGCCCTATTCTGTCCTTTGCCTGAAAGGTATCTTAGAAGAGGGAGGTAGTTCTGGAGAGACAGAACCTCAAGAATTGCCAGAATGCCTGCCAGGCAGAGCAAGAAAGAAGTTTAGGGGTCTCCCTGGAACACAGCGCCACCCACCAGTGCACTGGGATGCACACTGCCACACCATGGGACAACAGCAGAGGCATCCTGCCTTCAAACACCATTCTGCTCAGTTAAAAAGTGCAATATTTTTAAACCCTTGGGAGTGATTTGGGCTGGCACTGAATTAAGTTAAACATGAAAAGTAACACACACACACACACACACACACACACAATCCCCACAATATAATAAATAGAAAAGATGCTTGAGCTTCTTATATAAAAAAATAAGCCATGGCACAGATGCACCACGTTAATTTGATTGACACAGTGGTGATTGCTGGGTTTACTGGCTGGTTAAAAAAAAAAAGATTATTTTACTTCTTGCTACATGTTAAATTCTTCTGTAACTAGGAGTACACTTTAACAAGTATCTCTAACACATCAATTAGAATGACATGAGAATCAAGATTCCTAGTATTTCTAAGACTAGATAATCACATTGATCTGATTTTACCACTAAACAACCCTAGAGGACTGACACTCTCAGAACGCTCTGTCCTTACCCAGAGTTTTCATCTATTGAGCATTCAATTAAGTTACCACTTCTAGCTCTACTGCAAAATGCATCAAAAACAAGTTGCTTTGTATATTTGTGAGCGTATTCAAATAGCCAAAATTAGGGATATCTGAGATTTTATCAGGAAACAACAACTTGGAAGAATTTTGGAGGCTTACAAGCCAATAAAAAACTTACCCATATCTGAAGTAAGTATTAAACTGTCTGCAGAGGCGGTGAGCAAGTTCTCGTTTCCCACAAGCTTGAGGCCCCGCTAGTATCAGCATGGGATAAGGGGCGTCCAAACTGGGAAGGGTGCTGAAACACAGGACCAGCCAATTATTGTCCCATGGCTGTCAGAGAAGCAGCTTACGACCTGTAGCCACTTAACCACGTCTCTATTTCACAAGCCTAGTTAACGAGCACTTGGTGCACCCAGACACTGGAGAAAGAGGGGCCTACTTGCCAGAAACAAGTTGATTATAGTCACTGAAAATAACATTATTCAAAGCATAGGTAACGAAGGAAAATGCAAATTTATGTAAATTTACTTTACAAAGCATTTTTCAAGGAAAATGTGGTAAGATTAGTTCTTGATTGCTAAAGTAGTCTCAGAACTTACCAGTAAAAGAGATGTCTGTACTCTGAGAGTTCATGTTTAATATTCATGTCTATTACATTAAATGCAAAACCAACAATAGTAACAACTAAAATTTACTTGAGTAATTACTATGTACCAGGAACTATTCTAGGAGTTTTGTGTGTAGTTCTTTATTTAATTATAAGAAACTATTAAGATATGTCTGTCATTATCTCCACTTACTACGTGAAGAAATAGAAATGCAAAAAGGTTATTTACTTTGTTCAAAGGAAAGGAAGAGCTATATGAAATTCTAGGCTTAGTTTCCACAACTGAAGACTGAAATAAAGAATGAATTTAATAAAATCTCCCACACATTACGCTGTTGTGTGTGAACTTCACCCATGAAACAAATGGCAAAGTTACTGAACAAATCTTTTCGTGGTGGTAGATTGAACTTGGACCTTCACACTGAGTTACATACACAACTCTATTTTTTTCCTTTATTTTCAGACAGGTTCTTGCTAAGTTACCAAGTTTTCCAAGATGGGATCAAACTTACAATCTTCTTGCCTCAGCCTTCCAAAGTGTTAGGATTACAGGCATGCACCACCAAGCCAGTTAAAACAAGGTATTTTAAATACATAGCTGAGATGTGGATTCAATGAAGATTTCATGAAAACCATGAAAGAGCTCATTAGCCAGTATCTCTGAGTATCCATAGAGAAACATAAAAACTTAAGAGCAAGAGCCCTTGGAAAACATGTATAACAAAACCAGATGAAAGGAAAGGCATCTCTAGTAACACAAACCCTGAAAAAGCCTGCCTGGTCCTGGAGTCTGTACAGAAGACACAGTAGGGCAGTGCCAGGTAGATCTGAGGCCAGGGATTCCCAACAGCCACAGAGTACTTACAGATAGGCTCAAACTGTGCATGTGCAAACCTGTTTACGAATGTCTACACAACTTCATTAGTAGTGGCCCAGAACTGGAATCCTTACCAGGTGAATAGTTAACGGTGATAAATTCACAGCACAGACACTGTTCAGAAGTAAAACAGAATGCACTGTCAATACATGCAACAACTCGCGTGAATTTCAGGAGAATTATGTTGAGTGAGGGTATGTAACCAATTGCCAAAAGATATACATGTGATTCCATTTATAGAATATTCTTGAAATAAGCATATTTCAGAGACGGGGACAGATTCATGGCTGCCAAGGGTAAGAAAAGATGAAAGGAAAGGAGGTACTGTGGCTACTAACAGGCACCACCAGGGATCCTGTATCAAAAACGTAGTGGTGCTCAGATGAATGTCCCCATGGATTAAATCTGCACAGAGTGCAAGGTCTTGAGTTTGATTCCTGGTACCAAAGAGTAAAGAAATTTAATTACTTAATTTGCACAGAATTAAAGAGGACTAAAGGCATTCACAAACACATAAAAAATTAGTGAAATCTGGTAAGGTTGGTGGATTTCCTGGTCAATTTGTTAATTTTAATAATCAACTAAAGTTACAAGATCATCTCTGGGGAAAACTGGGCAGAAGATATGCAGAATTTCTCAGTGTTATTTCTTAGAATATCCTATGAAACTGCAATTATCTCAAAATAAATCCTTTTTAAGAAAAATGTCTAAGGAGATAAAAATATTTGAGAGAAAGTGACAAATACTGAAAATAGGCAAAGGAAATTTTCCTGAAGAAAATCAAAGCAAAGGAATAAGAAAATTTTAAAGATGAATTCAAGAAAACTTTCCTAAAATAAAAAAAAAACACTATACAAAACAGGGACATATATTACACCTAAAACATCCCAGAACAGCTAATATCAATATATAATTACTGGGCTTCAAAGAAGGAGGAAAAAAATAATAAACTAGAAAACCACAGCACGGGATAACAAATTATCAGATTTTGATAACACTGCTTTATGTATAAAGAAAATAAAGCAACATCTTTTAATATATTCAAGAAAGTATGAGCTATGAATTCTATATTTAGTGGAAATGACTTCCAAGTATGAAGAACACAAACTATCAATATGTAAGAATGATCTTAGAGCTCTTCCTGAGGAATCCTTTAGAAAACAAGCTTCATACAGTTAAAATGATTCAGCAGACATTAATATAAGGACCCATGAATAATAAATATGCAATTGCCTTAGACTAATGAGAACTAAGACTAAACGAGAACAAGAAAGAAAGTATAGCATGTAATGCCTATATGTCTCAACAATAAAAGTATAGGACACTACTTTTAAAAAGGAATGGTTTACAAAATATATGGAATAGGTAAATTCATGAACACAGATAGTCAATAAAAGGTTATTAGAGGCTTTGAACAGGGAAAGAGGTTGAATTGGTACAACATGGGCAACAATGCTTTTAATGACTTTCAGTGATCATGTTGATAATAGCATTGGGCTTTAAGAAATAAGTAATTATGGGATTTTGCAATTCTATCTTGCTCTGTGTGCTTGAGAAGTGAGATTCTTTGTGTGGGAGAAAAGAAAAGAGAGATGTGCTAGAGAGAAAGCTAGATAAAGGCTTAACTGTCATCCTGAAATTTAACTGTAGGTATCATTGTGAATTCAGGAGTTGTTGGTAGGTCTACCTAGACACAGGTAAGTAATTAGAACAGATGCAGACAAGTACAGATAGGATGGGTGGGTAGACGGATGATTGGATGGATAGATGGATGGATAAATAAATTAAAAAGATGTTCTTAGTTCTTTTCACTAAAAGGCTAGAAACAAAGATCAACTTAGCAGCAATGAGCATCACTAGTACTCAGATTAAAACTAGGAAGAGTACCATTTCTGACAAAAATCAGTGCTCTTAGAGAAATAGCTAATTTTAGATTTGGGACAAAACACATACAAGATGAGTTTGAGGAATTCTGTCATACCAAAGAGCAAGGAATCTATCAAAGGCTACCAAGTCAGTCAAGGTTTGTCTGTGTCCATCCTAAGATGGTATCCTAGCCCCAGTCATGCCAAAAGAGGGGCCAGTGATTCTCCAATAACATAACATACATTTCACAAGGTCCAGAGTCAAAATGACTTCTGGAGCCTGGTTTCTGGTGCTGCTAGAGAGCGATGCGTGGTTCAGAATGGGAAGAGGAAGGTCAGGCCTGCAGGTCAGCCCCTGCTCTAGAGTCGTGCTGCTGCAGTCTGGAACACCCAGGCCTGTTTGGTCTTTGCTCTTGTTTGTTTGACAACCAACAGTGATCAAGAAATACATGTTTATCAAAACACTACCGCAAATTATTGATACATGTTTTTATACAAATGTACCCCAAAGCATGAAACAAGTACCAATATTATAAACTAAAAAAAAATAATACAATGAGGATATAAATATACTTCTTTTAAATCAAATGTGCTTTTCTAGATGTATGTAAATCAATGATAAATCATTTCTCCTAGAGGGCTCTCATACACATATGAAACTGTCAATATCTACATTATTAAATTATACGTAAAACTCATGTCCTGGGTTACAAAATAAAACATTTTTCTCTCTGTGGGAAACCAACCAGGTAAGGTACAGGAGCAAATACCACATGAAGAAGAAAAGCCATTTATATCTAAGAGTTTTACAAGTATTTTTAAAGCGCCTTTGGGTATTGATAGAATTTCTGCATTATACTTATAGCATAAATGGCCATCTGCTCCAACAGATTGTTTAAAAAGAAATGAAGAAACCGTGGTAAATCTGTCTTCAAATTTAGAGGTGAGAGACTCTATTCATGTGTTCAACCAAGCTGAGCCGCTCCTCCCTGCTGGGTTGATTGTAGCTCAGTGCAATGACTATTTCAGGCTTCCCTGAGGCTAGCTGGGCTTCCTTCAAGGGACTCCCTAATAGTCTGAATTCATCGAATGCTCTTTGGCTGGGGTGTTTAGCATTCTTTCACACCAAGGGAAGATTTATAATGGATATAAATGAGCACAATTTTCTGTTAATGAGGTTGTTTGTGATAATTTCCTAAGGCAGAAAAGTTGACAAACTTTTTGAAGATTTCACTGTCATATTGCTCAGCATATGAGGGGCCAGATGAAGAATGAAGACCGAGCAGCTCATCATCACACTTGAGAAGATACTAACCAGTGAGGAGTAAGCTGCATATTCAAGTACGTGACAACATGCCATGACTGAGGAGCAAAGTCTTCCCAATAAAGACTGGGCCCATCCCCCTTGGGAAGGGGTAAAGGCAGCACTTACAGGAAACTAAAGGACACAAAATAGAGGGCTAAAGAAAATGAGGTGCTTCCCTGCTTGCCTATGGAGTAATAATAAATACCTGTCAAAGATCCTCTGAGGCTGCATCACACTGTTGACAACATGGGTCAGGTGATCCTGGGCTGCGACCATTTCAGGAGGAGGGTCATACTTATTCACTGCTGCGACCTTTTCCAGAATTAGAAGTGTAAAAGGGGAAAAAAGACAATGTTTAGGTTTTCTTTAATGAAGTGGTGAAGACAAACAACCAGTTATACAAAATAATTTAACACATAACCATGAGACCTTGTATTCAATCTTCACGTCAACTCTTAACTTTCCTAAAAACTAACTAATGATAATTATTTTAAAATATTGCATGGAGTCTTCTGAACCCTTACTTCTTTATATTCCCTCATTTGGAAGGGAAAAAGGAGAAAAGAAATCCTGAAGTTCATGGTTACTTTTAGTCTAGCAAACATTCCAACTTGTAGTGGAAGAGGGAGTAAAACATATTAGATTCTAGGTGGCTGGTCCTCCTCATACCATCTCACCAAGAATCTTCCCCATGATTTTGCATCCTCTCCATACTTCTTATTTTAGCTTAACTTTCTCTAGTTGAAGATATAAAGAAAGATTTTTTTAAAAATGTGATGAATGTTTAAATAAAAATGTTTCAGTGTGTTCTCATCTATTTGATTCACCAGATTTGGTACCATGTGACTTCTGGCTCACCTACAATACCAAAATGATCATGAAAGGAAAATGTTTTGAATTGATTCGGGCATAGGACAGCCATAACAATACAATGAAAGCCACTTAGGAAAGAGGACTTCCAGAAGTGCTGCAGAAAATGGCCAGGACGATGGGTTGTGCTCAAAGTGAGGGGAGGTATATTGAGGAGGATTAGTAACAAGAGTCTTTTACTTTAATACTATTTTTGAAAAATTTTTAAGATATGCACTGTATTTTTTGTCACAGCTTATAGAGGTCTTTTCTTCATAATATACAGTTCTTTGTCTTTGGCAGTCATTTAAACACATCATGCTCAGCTACCATGCTTTTCCTTAATACATGCTTTAACTCTTATTTCCTTTGCAAAATGTTGATGGAAAAGAGAAACCTAAGTGCCTTTGAGTGTGAGAAAAACAATAGTGAAGCATCTGTATCTGCTTTTAACCAAAACTGCAGAAAGGCATCCATGAGATGTAGTATGGGCCTTTCTGGGTATCTATGCTTGTTTTGATTCCTATCTCAAATTTGAATCCAGTGTAAGGAATCCCTCATTAGTAGGGATCTCAGCTGTCATCAGCCACTAAGGGATGACAAAGCAGTTACTGTGGTAATATGGAGAGAGGAGGGTCCTGGCATGCAAGATCTGGTTACTCTGAAATTGTGTGACCAAATAAATCACTATTTTAAAGGGCAAAATTAAAGGACTTAAAATATCAGAGTAGTGACTTATTTAAGTACCTTTATATTGTATGCTAGATTTTATTGTTAAATGAAGTTTTAGAGTAGCAGAATCATATACCCTATGAATAGGATAGTCATCCAAACTACTGGTCTGCCACAAAATGACCTAGTAAGAGGATAAAAAGAATGCTATTTTTATTCCTTACTATCAAGCTTCCCATTGTACCAACAGCTGGCCTTCCATCATGTTTGTGTTGCTATCAATACTCTGCTCTGTTTGTTTGTTTGTTTGTGTGTGTGTGTGTGTGTGTGTGTGTGTGTGTGTGTGTGTATGTATGTGTGTGTGTGTGTGTGTTTATGTTGCCGGGGATTGAACTCAGGACCTTTGGCCTGAGCTACATCCCCAGTCCTTTATTTATTTATTATTTTAAGACAGGGATTTCCTGAGTTGCTAATTGCACAGGTTAGGCCCAAACTTAGGGTCCTCCTACCTCAGCTTCCAGGGTGCTGGGATTACAGATGTGCATCACCACATCCAGTCAAGTGCCCAGCTTTACAGAAGGCTCAACTGAGATCCTAGCCTAAGACAAGGAATCAGCCCCAAAATAAAGAATTAATTTATTTACTGGTGCACATCTCCTTGATCGATTATATTGGTCTCACACCTGGCAGCATAAATTTTTGAGCATATCAATCCATAAGCACATGAAATGACATGATTGTGTACCTTTTCTTCCACTTTAATTTTCTTCTTATCTAATTCTGTTAATCGCAGTAGCATAAATATTACAAAGAGCCAGTATTCAGATTTCTCCTGCAAAAAATATCAAGAAGAATATTCAGTTGCCTTCCTTCTCCCAGTTCACAAGCACCAGCATGCTGTTCTTAGAAGCTCAGTCTTTCACCTCTCCCCTGCCATCCCCGCACACCTCCTACATTTTTACGCTTACCCCTCCCCTCAATTAACAACTCAGATGCAAACTGTGCGTTGTAATTTAGAAAGCTCTTCAAATATGCACATCTTATTCATCTCCCTATGAGTTGAGCAGGGTAGGCAAGATTATCCTCATTTCTAAAGAGGGAAACAACCAAACTTTAGAAACGCAAAGCATCACCTACCTAAATTCAACCAGAGGAACTCAAACCCTTACTTCTAATGCTAAAGAGTTTTATTCTTGTAAATGATGAGACTTTACAGTTTATTATTTCATTTTTCTTTTTTATATTCTTTTGTATTCATTTGTATCATTCGCTCTGAATATGTCCTACAACAAAATTTTATTTATTTGTAAAACAAATTCTTTATTATTTCCTACCATCTGCTTCATTACTGTAGTTTTGTTTTTTGCTAAGAAGTAGAGTTAAGATATTACTAGATGTTCTCTTTCTTTTTTTAATTTTATTTAAGGATAAAAAGAAAAAAAAACAGAAAAAGGGTACAAGTTATACAGAATTTCAGAAAAATAAACAATAGGAAATCACTAGTTAATAGATTACATATTGTCATCTTAGAAATAGTTGTTCAAATTACAAAATTAAAGCATATAAAGTTGACATTCAAACAGTGAGACTGCAAACAGTTCTGTTCAATGATCCAACAAAACTCAGTAATATGGTTAACTATCGTATACACTTAAATATACATGCAGTTATATCCTTTAGAGCACTTTCTTTTCCTCTCTTTTGTACAATGACAATTACACATTTTGGGCTTTATTACTCCCACAGTTCTTATTATTTTTTTTGAAGGGAATAAAACTAAATGTGACATAACAAAACAGAGTCAGACAAATCAAAAGGATGGACATAACACATACTGTAAAAACAAAAAACAAGGTGATCAGCAATGGTTACCATAATGCCTCTTGTTATCTTAAAAAGAACTGCCTATATCATAGATGAGAATGTGCATGAGGCAAATATCTAGGTTCCCAACTCAAATAAATGAGGAGATGGAGATGCTAAATACCCTGATTAGATCAATACACATTGTACACATGTACATATGTATTGAATTATCACACCACACCCCACGAGTCTATACAATTAGTGTGCATGAATTTAACCTTTTTAAAGTTTATGTTATATACTTCCAAATGTACATGCTGTGGGAGGCGTCATATATGATGTTAACGTACATGCAAGGGCTTGTGCAGTTTACACAGGTGTATGCATGAACACTTCCCATTGATCTGAAACTGGGATGTGATGAGGCCATTAAGCCCTGTTCCTTAACTTCCAAAGATGCTTTAAATTGCCTGCTACTATTCCCATACCAGCCATTTTTATTTTTTAATTTTTCCTATATAGAATCAAGATATACACAGAGAAAGGTACTGAAAAATACATAGCCAAGAGCCAATGGAAGGATATGTAATGAAGGATAAACAATGTTATGGATTGTATCTAGACATCCCCCCAAAGCCTCATGCAGTCATGGGTGGGGCTTTTCAGAAGTGGCTGGCTGGATACAGTGTGTGTGATGCTGAGACTGAGGATATAATGCTGAGACTGATTCATGGTGCAATCCCCACGGTACCCTCACCAGTACACCACTCTGGGTGTGAGTGCTACCTGCCCTAAGGAGCACAAAGAGGGCTCCTGTTGCCATTTGCTGCTTGCTACGTTGCTGTTTTGCCATTCTCTGCCTTTCATGAACTATTTCTCCTCTTCAGTGCCCCTCTGCCAAGCCACCTGCCTTGAAGCCAACCAACTATGAACTAAAACCTCTACAAATGATGAGTTATAATAAACCTCTCCTCCTTTAACTTTGAGTGTTGGGTATTTTGTCTCAGAAATGAGAAAAGTAATTAATACAGACAAAGAGGGAAGGAAAGAGAACAGGAAAATGGATTTATAAATAAAGATAAACCTGAACAAAACATCCCTGAAACTTAAATCACAGAGATTAAAAACCACTAGGACAATGATGGCAAATCTTTTAGAGATGAGTGCCCAAACTGCAGTCCAAAACCCACTTTTTTATTGTAAAGTGTCACCACTGCAATTAAACCTGAGTGTTGAGGTTTTAGTTCCAAAAATACAAGTCACACATTAACATCTTTTCTTTTAAAAGAAAAACAAATAACACATGTGCCATAGCTTCACCACCACAGCTGAAATAGAGGTATGTAACTTGGTTCTATCAGTACATATTTTACAATCTAGCCAATTGCCAATTTCATGGCTATATCTGTTTCCCCTGTTGTAGGATAGGTACCCTATTCTGCCTACTCCTCTGCCGTCTTGCATCATTTACTGTGAAAGGACTTTTCTCTGCAGTCTGATTAGCTCCCTCCTGTCATCTTAGCACCTCCTGAGATGCATCCTAAATGACCACACAGAGCAGGTAAATGACATTCAGCGTTGGGCTTTTCTCTGACATTGATGCCATGTCACAGCTTGTTAGTCACAAAGATCTGATTTCTTGAAAAACAAGATGGTTTAGGGGCTACTTAATCCTTCTATTTGATTCCTAAGAGACAGAGAATAAAGATTTTTAAAATACTGTGTTCATATTCTTGATATTCTTTGTCAAAAGTACTTCTTAAAGAAAAAATATTCCAGAATCGTCCTCGTCTCTTTCCCCTCCTGAGATATGGAAATGATTACTCTCACCTGAATGGGATTTCTTCGAAGATTGAGAATTCGAAGGATTGGAAGATTTTCAATGTATTTTATTTCATCCAGTTCAGCAATCTGTTTAAGCAAAGAAAAAAAGACTATCAACAGACAATGCACAACGCCCAAAGACAATAGAGAATATGATAAAACAGGAGTCACTTTGGATCCTTTAAATTCAACTTATTGAAAACTTGCTCTGCTGAGTATCTTGCTTTTAATGAGGATTCCACAGAGCTACTGAACACACACGGCCACAATTCCTTTGTCTCGCAAGAGAACAGTAAGCTTCTTTCTCTTACCCTTTATTTAAGTACAAGCAAAATGGCATGTGCAGTAAGAGAAACAGTTTGAAGATGCCTGCAAGAATGACTCGGTTCCCCCTTCCTGTCCTAACCCTCTTGCACTACTCCAAACATCACACCCCAGCCTGGCTTCCACTCTGCCCTTGTCATTCATATGGCGCTATCACTTTTTCCATAAGAAAGAATTATTTTTTATTTTATTTTAAAAGGAAAAAAAACAATGGTACAAAATTTCAAAACAAGATTGTAAGAGAGTAACAACGGATAGTACATTGGGTATTATTATCTTCAAAGTAGTTGCTCATATAACAAGATATAGGCATAAAAATTGATCAGTCTAGGCACAAAACTTTCTTTTCAATAGCCTAATAGCAATTAGTCATATAACTATCTTAACTATTTTGTATATATATAATTTTTCCTTTTCCCTTCCTTCTTTTCTCCTGTCTCTGTCCCAGTTTCTCTTTCCTTTTGAACAGTTTCCATTTCACAATATCTACTGTACACTCTGGAGCTTATTTACTCCTTCAGTTTCTTACACTAAGGAGACAATATTATATTTATACATGTGAGTCTGATTCATTTCACTTACAAGTATGGTCTCAAATTGTATCCATTTCCCTATAAACGTCTCAAGTTTATCCTTCTTTATAGCTGAATAGTACTCCATTGTATAAAAATACCACACCTTTTTAGCCATTCAAGAGAAAATTATTTTGAGGAAAAGTGAAATTAAAAATTATAAGCTGTATTTCTTGATGGATCTTTGTTCTTCATCTTAATTTTTTTGCTGAATTGTAGGTTTATCCTATACACTTTTCTATATAGGTTATGTTTCATGATTTTTAGAAACAAGAGAAGAAAAGATTGCCTGGCAGGACCCAAGATGGGGTTTGAGTTACCTGAAATTTCCACCAAAATAAACACAGATGTTTCAATTGAAATTTCCTATAATAAGTAAAATAATAATTATAATAATTTCAATATATATAATAATTTCAATAATTCAATAATTTCAATAATAGTTTCAATAAATATAATAATTTCAAGTGTAGTTAACAAATTTTTGCAGTTAATGTGCTGGTTGATCTTGATTATAAACTTGGCTGGTTGAACTGAGAAACATGTAGGAAATTGGTACAGCACACCTCGGGGTGTGTCTATGAGGGCGCTTCCTGAGACATCTTGCGTGTACTGGAGGTAGGTAGCATGCAACAGGGTGAGAGCTCCGTGGAACAAAACTATAACGGGGAGCGAGACCACCTCAGGCTCTCGCCCTTCTGCTTCCTGGTCGCCATGAGGTAAACAGCCTTTCGCCACCCCGCACTTCTGCCATGATGTGCTTCCTCCCCAGAGGCCCAAGAAGAATGGAATCAGCTGACCATGGACTAACACCTCTGAAACCATGAGCCAAAATAAATCTTTTCTCATTTTCTCAAGTATTTTGCTACAGTGACAAAAAACTAACACAGTTAATCATCTCTTTTTATTTCTGTTCTTTACCTAAATCATTTCTGTGTGCATTATAAAAGCATTCCAACAGCAAGGTCATCAAATACCCTTGAGTTATTTAACCACAAAATTCAGCTAACTGTAAATAATTCCAGAGCTAAATCAAGCAATGAACATATGCATCATGTCCAGAGGATGTCATTTTAAAAGATACAATATGAAAGGTAAACTCTAAAGTTATACTATACCATCTGTACACATTAATATGGTTAGAGCGATGTTATGCTATTAAATATATAATATGTATCTTTTTCCATAGACTGTCCACAGACTGTTATTTGGATCATCTTCAAGAAAATACATCAAAGCTTTTATATAGTGTTATCCAGGAAGATGGAAAGTAAGCTTGGTTCATGTTGCTGTATCAGAACTTTTGAGTAGTAAATTGATTTTCCTCTAGTATAGAGCTCTTGTTCTTGGTCCTAAAATGAATGTAAGAAGAAATATATTCCTGCATGCATCATGTCTCACCAACCAGTTCCGGTCATGTGCACCTTCATGTACTACTGGCAAACACAGAAATGGAAGTAGTCTTTCTGCAGTGCAATCTGATGTGTAAACATATACATAAACTGTGAACTTCAAGGGGTTTACACTAAAAAGATCATCAGACAGGCAAAAACTAGTTACAAAAACATTTATTAGTCTAAAGTGAAAAGTTCCTCAGGTCTTAAGAACAATATCATCATGTGATTAAGTGAATTATAACGCAGTCTCATAGTAGGAACACTTTGCACTTATTTCAGGCGGTGGGGATATCTGTGGTGACTGATGTGGAAGGCTCTGAATACATTATAGAGCCACGAATACGGGGATCATGGACTATATAAATGCGTGTTACCACTATCATGTCAGCTGGGATCAGTGAGACTTTTGAGAGTCAGATGTAGGGATCCAACTTTCCTCCCTATCCTTCCAAAGGTGTGGTGAGGTTTGTAAGAAGAAACAAGAATGGGGTAGCTGAGCTTTAAGCTCCCACTTCAGCCAAATTAGCTTAGTGCAGCAGACACTCCTCCTGCATGTGTCCCCCGCCATGCTGCACAACCTCGCCCCATCCTCTCTCCTCACATCCTCTCTACAAAAGGTCAGAGCCCCACGATTGTGCTTATACAGCAGGCAGAGGCACAGCAGTACTCCTAACCACTGAAAGTGAAAGATGCCAGAAAAGTTATATCCTCACAATAATTTCAGTCATTTGCTGCCAACAATATCCTACCAGCACCTTCTGAGTCCTCCCTGGACTCTAGGGGCTTCTTTTTACACAAGAAGTAAAAGGAAGGAAACAGAGAACCTTCCCAATTCTTGTTTTTGTCATTTTTTGGCCATGCCCTCTAAACACCACCATCCAGATCTAAAGGAGCCTGATCAGGTTTTTCTTAAACACACACACACACACACACACACACACACACACACACACCTTTAGGAAAGAACTGAGTGTGGTTAAATTAAAGTTTTTTCACTGAATGAATCTTTGTAGTAAAATAGTGGTTTTCAATCTGTGGGGCTCTGTCACCTAAATAATGAAGAAGAAGGTGATCACGATGATGATAATGACGGTTACTGGCCTAAAAATCAACAAGTGCAGCGGGTGTGGTGGTGCACATCTGTATTCCAAGCACTCTGAGAAATTGAGGCAGAAATATCACAAGTTTAAGTCCAGCCTGGGCAACACAGCAACTTAGTGAAAATAAAAAAAAATTTAAAAAGAATCGAGGACATAGTTCAACGCAATGGTCCTAGGTCCAATCCCTAGTATAAATAAATAAATAAATGGACCAACCTGACCAATGAAACAGTGTAGTTTAAAAACCAAACCACAAATAAGCAAGAAATGTGCTCAGCAGAACTATCAATTAAATGAATTAATGAATACAAGTTATTTAGCATAATGTTGGGTAAGTACTCAACAAAGAGTAGCTTATTATTATGAGATATTAGGGTGAAAATAAATTTAAAATTTTGCTTTAATTATACCTCAAGATAAATTACATATTAAGGCTTGAAGGTAATTTTAAAAAACCAAAAAATAAATTTGAATCTATCAGATTTAGAATATAAAAAGACTTCATAAAAATTATAAAAATAATAAAGACACAAAATACTGATTTATTTTATAAATTATCTTAATAAATGTACCAAAGTTTCTTAAGCACAATGAAAAGCAAAGAACCAATAGATAATAGTTTAAGGTCTGAACAGACCTTTTTGGATTTTTTTAATACAAGGTCTCACTACATAGTTCAGGCTGCCCTGAACTCACTGTGAAGACCAAGCTGGCCTCAAACTCGGCAATTCTCCTGCCACAGCCTCCCAAATGCTGAGATTACAGGTGTGTACTACCAATGCCCGGTTTGAATAGACAATTTTTAAAAAGGAATCAAATGGTTAACAAAAAAGTTTAATCTCACTGATAATCAAAGAATCATAAAAAATAGAATATATGCTATAATTTTCTTTACTAATCTGATGTAACTTTAAATATTTGCTGACAACAGTATAGTAAGATATGGCTATAACAAGGTATTTTAACTTCATACACTGCAGTGGAGTATTACTAGTATGAACCTTCAGGAAATACATCAACAGTATTTAAATGATCGAACTCAGTATTGGTATGTCTGAGAATACACCCTAAGGAAGTAACTAAAACAATGTAAAGATTTATGTATAATATGTAACATTATTTTTAATAATAAGTCATGAACAACATAAATTTCAAGAAATAAATGACTTGATAAGCCTAGATATATTCCTAGCACTCTGGGAGGTTGAGGCAGAAAAACTGCAAGTTTGCCTCCAGCCTGGGCATGTTAGGGACTCAGTGAGACCCTGTCACAAAACTAAGAATAATAAAGGACTTAGATTTAACTCAATGTGAAAGCCTAAGTTCAATTTCCAGTACTTGACAAAAATCTATATATATCAGTAATAGACTAGCAACTATTAAATCAGATTTTTTGAGAAAATTTGTCTCCCATATAAGAATTAGATATCTGTCTCAGACCAGCCACAAAAATATATCCCAGTTAAAAACCAAACAGGAAAAAAAAATCTTGAAATTATAGACTATTTAAAACCTTAGGATATAAAGAAATTTCTTAGGTGAAATATGCATACAAACAGAAATTACAAAATTAAATATAATTTTCGGCCTTCATTCCCCATTTCCCAGGTGCACAGCTTCGCTTAGTGTATGAGGACTGCCGTGTCGGTTCCTAGAACTGCCATGACAAATTCCCACAAACCTGGAGGCCAAAG